TTTTAATATATATATACACACATATATATTTACAGTTACACACACACAAGGACAGTTCAGGAGAGAGCATCCACAGCAGCACACTGTGTGCCCTTCTCCTCCCTTACGTCCAATCCACGCAGCAACACAGGAGAGACTGCAGAATCATTCCTCCCAGTTGTTCTCATCTCAAGAATTCAAGAAGAGCCCATAACCAAAGTGTGAACAGAGTCCCAGACAGCAAGCCTACCACAGGAACAGCACACACAGACAATTCTGAATTTAGACTAAATAAACAGTTATCTAAAACTTGCGTTTCTCATTGCAATTCAAAGGCGCTCTTTTACAAGGACCACTAACTTAGCGAGAGATTCTCTGTAGCAACACTGACAGCCGTTTCAACTCCTTTGGCACAGACAGAAACAAGGCATCTTTTCGGAGAGGCTTGTCTTACTAATACAGAAGGAACAGAGGCTGGTACAGCATCAAAGTCATGAAGGTTTAATTCTACAAGATTGAAATTTAGAGATAAAATAATCTGGAATAAATTGAAAATCACAATCAATCTTTGACAAAAGTTTTGAATGTGTTCTAAGAGGTATTTTATCCTTATGGCAACCAGGGTTATGAAGAATCTTAGCCCAGTAGGGACTATCATCTAACCTTGTGGAAACAACTACTAAACACATGCCAATGGACAGCAAAAGGTACAAAATCACACAGCTATAGTGATCCTTCCTCCTCAGTGATCCAGCTTCCTTATTAACAGCTAATCAGCTAAAGACAATCTCTACTGAGAAACCAAGGTCCTTGAGGAAAAGGTAAAGGTTAATCAATCCCTCCAGAAACTGGTTCAGAAAAGACAACCACCAAGCTGAGCATGTAAGATTAATCCTGAAACATCAGGTTTAAGTGGGTGGCCAAGAACAGCTGCTACAGCAGTAAATGTATAGTGAACACAACTTCCATGAACAACGAATCACAAGCCTTCTCTTCAATAAATAAGACTTTAGCTACATTAACACATAACATGAAACAACAGAAGACCACCTGTAGAGCAGTTGGAGCATACTACTGCACCCATACTACCTGCATCTCACAAGGATTACTCTAGACTAGCAAGAGGCAAGGACAGTTTTAGAACAGAGAGCAGCTGGAAGGTATTCAACTAGGAATTGCAAAGGCTTTGAAGACAGTAACATTGAGCTCGGTCTTTTTTTCTGGCTCTGGCAGAGACATCTGATCATGCTTCTACAACTGAACCAACATCAGCTTTTGGACACTAAGGTCTTTCTCAAATGAAGCAGTCAAGCCCGTTGAGGTAAGGCAGCACACAGAAGATTGCCTCCATTCCAGTTCTGTATTCAGGAGAAGTACACAGGCATCGTATCAACCAGGGAAACGTGCAAGCAACATCCAGCAGAGAGAGGGCAAGAGGACCACGGTCACAGCGCCAAGCAGACAGGAGCTTACATGTTGACGGGAGAATAAGGAGGTGGCAAGTCTTCCGACATCTACTTTAAAGTCTTTTAGTAACCTCTTCCCTTCCTGGTTTCCAGACTGCCCAGAAACAAGGTTTTATGAAGACAGGCAGCTTTAGTGTACTTTAACATAATACTGGTGGCACATATCAAAGGCAACGCACTGGATACTTCAGGTTTTTCCTCACAGTTTTTTCAAATTTTAGTTGTTTGAAAATGCAGTGAAACAAACAATCTCATATTGAAAGGAATTTCACTCAAACTTCTACCAACCTGAAGAAAGGAATAATATACATATGCTATGACAGAACTATGCTGTCAAAAAGCTACATTTCTAGCTTAAGGCAACTTCAAACATACAGCTCCACGCTGCAGAAATAAAATAGCAGACAGAGCCAAAGGTTACAAAGGACATGGTAAGAATGGGTAAGCTGACTGTGGAACTGTTGTTCATTGAATCCTACAATACAAGAATTGGAGAGTACTCAACAAAATTAGAAAGCCAGTTCAGCACACACAAAAAAATTTTTTGTTAAAAGAGCACACAGTGAACTTTTAGAGTTTGCTGTCACATGAAGTTGTGGAAAAAAGGTGTCAAAACTGTTCAATAATGTGAAGAGATAAATTCACAAGCAGGTCCACAGATGGGAAAAAAAAAAGGGGGGGGATAGGTGGGAATCTATCTCTCATCCCTAATCCAATGACTGCGGCTGCTGAGGAAATGAAGTGAACCAAAGGCAGCAGCCAGGCTTATGTCATGTCTCCGAGAAACACCATTTCGTCACCGTTAAGAGACAGAATACTGGGTTAGATTAATCCTTCTGGAGGGCTGAAGGCTGTATTGCTCATGTTTAATTTACACAGTTTTCACACTGTTAGAGTTAAAAACAATGCTTATGCCTGCCACTGAACTGTGTAGAAAGTTAAGTGAGAGCATTAATCTGGTCCCAGCTTTACCAGATGAAGACATGATAATAAGAGGTCAGCTTCTGTACTGCAATCCCTCCCCCTGCTCCCCAAAGCCCCCCAAAAGCTTAGCACGGCCTAAGAGTAGGCAGCTTGATCCCCTACCTACAGCAAGGAATCCTCTAACCAAAGACAGAAATCAGGTAGAATCAGCTGGTAACACAAATTTTATTTCTGTATTTACAATGCTTAAAATAAAATATATCGGTATCTAGCTATACCTAATAAATGCAAAAATAGAAAACTTCCATTTTCAACAAAAGTGCAGAAACATAAATTAGAACATGATAGCTTTAAAACATACAATGTTATTCCTCAGTGTTTTTTCTATGAAAACAGATTTGTAAAACAAGCACCATAATTAATCTTACAGAAGACTTTCCGTGAAAGCAGCATCACAGGGCAAAACAAGCAGGACGTTAGTACAGAAATGTAGTAGCAAACCTTTGAATATTTTAAATCACATAAACTGTTATAAATGATTATAAACAGTTATAAAACTGTTCCAACTATTTTTGTGCAATAGCTTTACCACATAACCGAATGGTAACTGAGCCACGTTTGGTCGTCAGCACAACAAAGAGACCTTCAAATTTTCCTTCTGCCTTTGGCTTGAACTGGACTGGCACATTGATGTAATGATGGGATCTGTAAAAAGGCAATTATGTGCATATTCATGGTTAATAAACAAGTAAATCCTACCAGATAGAGAAATTCTTGTCTACTTTTGATTTTCACCCAAATAGTATATTGAACATGCGCTGGATCATCGAGTTTATTTTTATAGATTTGATTGTCTATTATTCTTCTGAAGGACTTTGATTGTAAAGGTCATTCTTTCCTACTGATTATACAAAGAATTACAATACTTCATTGCTGCTAGTTTACCTAGATAAGTTTGGTCTGCCTCTTTGCAATAATATTGACAGCATATTACCTCTATTTAGAGCAAAGTTACTACATTTCTTCCCTTCAGAAGTCACACGAGAAGGACACTAAATTATCCAATTCTTTTTGAAATTCCACCAATTTGAAGCTAGTGAAATAATTTCAATTACTTCTTATTGCCTCCACATTAAGAAATATTTGCTGAATCATTGCAAGTCAATATAGCCATCCTCAAACAGTGTTGTAAAGATTTTACATTACATCTTTTTGGGTTACATAATTCCTCTTCTATTCAGACTGCATAAAAACATACCAAATGTAACGGGTGGCTGTCTCAATTGTCAAAAGCCTAGACTGAATGTTTTAAAAATATCAGCTATACAAGCAACAAGCTGGAAATGCTGAGTGGCAGCCTACTGGATTCCACAGCATCCAATGGAAATATCCAGCACTAACAGGCAGGCAATGGTCACAGGCACATATTGGAATAAGGAAAAATGAACAGCATCACTGAGTAAGACAAAGAAGAGACTGCTTCCTTTTCTTTTATTGTAGCTTCAGTCTTCTGCCCTTAACAGCATTTAGTATTACCCAACATCCTCTGGAATGTGCTTATTTTCCCTACTTTTTCTTATTCCTTTCCTCTATGCTAATCCAACCCATCATAATCAGTCTGTGCTCTTACCCTTCTCCTACATTTGGAAATCATAATATTGGCTGTACATACAAAGCCTGAGCGCAGCCTCATTCGTTCAGTATCGTCCTTACTGCTAAAACAGGCACACTAGCAAACGTATTTTGATTTTTCTTTTTTCTTTTTTTAAAACAGATCCTGGTCGATGAAGTAACTTAAGAGTACACACTTTCAGAATAAAGACTGGTATGCTACTGTATTTTCTTAATTGGGTTAATACAAAAACAAAGCACTAATTACGTTGCACAGAACTCCAATCAACAATACAGCAAAGGAGTACAACCAGGTCAGGGTTTCATGTCTCATACTTGATTGCTGAGTGTTGTATTACAAACCATGCATGCTCTGTCTCTTTTATCCATCTATAATATATGGGATGAAGATATTTACTCAGTTTTATTTTTAAAAATCCGTTTTATAAATGAAGATCAGTATGACTACTTAATCTGTAACAGATGCATTATATCACAAAACACAAATTTTAGTAAGAATAGAGTCTGTAGCTGCATACAACCAGGCCACCTGAGAATTTACAAAAATAAATTCAGTAGAAAGTCAGGAGGGATGCAAAAGACTATATCATCATCTCCAAAATACTATATGTACACTTCCTTACATATCCTAACACATACTCAAAAAGAACAATACAACCAAACTCGAACTTATACTATCAAAAAATCAACAGTAAGTTATGTATCTCTCTTAAAAGAGATGGCCACATCTGGCTGATAAATATTAATTCCCAGAATACATACTATACGACCTCAGTGATACTGAGGCAGAGCAGTTTCTTGGCATAAGACAGCTATATTCAGTTCCATTTGACCTCTAAGTTCAGGTGTCCATTTGGTTGGTGCTACCTACATTATCGTTCTTCTCTCAAAGCAGAATTAGTCAGACATGACTTAGAGTTTGTTTTCTAGCAGTCAGTTGATTTCTCACAATCGGGATAAGGCTCACCACACTTCAATTCCCACGCTTCCTAAGCCCAAGGGAAAGATGTTATTTTCATTTTCCTCCAACTAATAAAATGGGAAAGTTCAGACTCCAGCTACAACAGCTCTCTGGGCTACTACAAAGCATAAATGTTCATAGGAATTAAGCAACCTGGAGGATTTTTCTTAAGTACAGTAGCCAGAAACTAGTCAAGAACAGTGTCAGGAGAAGCAGAATTCCCCTGCAATTAACTGTTTTTCTCTTAACAAAAAGTTTTGCTTTACTTCAAACTTTTCAATATGCCTGCAGGTCAACTAGTTGATGAATACTACATGGCCTTTACAGGTTGTTGCATCCCCCTTTCGCGTGCTATTTCTGAGAAGTCAGGTATGTCTGAAGCCTGCCTCATAGACGAATCAATACTGCAGCCATACTCTAAAACAACAGGAGCAATAGGTAAGTTTAAAAGGAACAGTAAGGGTAAACTGCATCTAAGCCATAGTAAGCAGATCTATCGTCAATAAATCGTGACTCTTGACACCCAGAATGGTGGCTACTGGAAACAAAAATAATTAGTCAAACAAAAAACAGTTTTACCTTTTAGTAACATCTGAAATATATACTACCCTGTAATCAACTTATTTCAGATGGTTTCTGAAGGCAATACAATAGAAACATCTTAGTTTTCAAACTTTTTTTTACATAGGCCTAACCTGTAGTCCTTCTAGAAAGAAAACTTAGCCAAAGGTTTTTAACAAGTCAAGTGTTTTTTAGTGTTTCATCCATATGTTTATATCACTTGAGAGTCATCTTGTTAAAGGTACTCTTTGCAGTAAAAAAAAAAAATTCTATTCTCTCAACAAATAGTTTGTATGCGAATTCCAGGCAGAATTCCTTCCAACACATTCTTTGCAGGACTTATATTAGCTAAATGACATCTCTCTGGTTAAAAACCAAGACGCATGCTTTAAGATATTTGGTGAATATTATTAAAATTCCTTTTTTTTTTTCGGTTACAGTTTTGGTTGCAAGATACTGTACGTGGATAAAGCTCATTACTATTTTCAACGGAGCAAACTGTGGTAAAGGAACCAGCAGTGCTAGGTATTGGTACCTGAAATGACATAACCAACTGAACAAGAACCGGCAAGCCACTATACCAACTTCTGAAGGTCAAGCTAGTAAAATACCAATACAAACTTCCAATTCCATTATCCAGATTTAAAACTTGATTCCACAGGATTGCTTTCAAATTCAGCCCTCTAAAATGAAGAGCATGCAACAGACCACGTTTACTACACGACACTTTTTTGGTCCAAAAATATAGGTAGGCGGTACTTTCTATTTTTACACTCTAATTTACAGACTAATATTCCAAGTTCCTGCAACCAGTTTTCTTATCCAATTCTTTTTGAACGTTACTTTGTAAGACATCTGGTTAACCCAGTTCAGAAGGAAACAGTTAACACTGGCTTTCTTGAAATCCTCCTTGACACCGTTCTCAAGTAAAAACCGTTTAAAGAGAATCTTTTAACACTTTTTTTAAAGCATCTATCCAAGTCAAGTAGTTCCTCTGTGCTTTATGCTCTTAAATGGGAGAGCTTCTTCAGAGAGCTATGTTGACTTCGGATAAATGAATTTTTAAAAAAAAGATAAGAAAGGCCAATATTTACAGCTGAAGAAAAACAGCCAAAGTTACTAGAAAAAAAAAAGGTTGTAGAATGTTATTAAGAAGGTGCAGTATATTCAGTTGATAACCTTTAGAAATGGTAGACTGAATTTTAAACTTAAGTCTACTTTGGATAAAAGCAACAGGAGTTTATCATCTCTCACAGAAAATATACCAAATAGCTTTTACAGCATTCCTCACGAATAGTTTTGAAATATCTAAGCGTCTTCCAGTGAAGCTACTCATCTTTTTTTCCAGGGATGATCAAGTCATCCTGTCCTTTGCCTGCAGCTGCACAGCCTCAGACAGATCTAGCTAGTCGTCTTTATTTGGATACATTTTATCTTGGTCACTGCCTCCATAAAAAAATCCTTCTCTGCCATCTGATGTGACATATTTAATAAAAAGATGCCGGTTAAATAGAAACACTGGAACGCATGTCTAAATGGAGTTATAACACTTTGCACTGAAAAGTGGCCTTAAGAATCCCAGGAATACTTGTGGCTAACACCACCAAAGCCCTGTCTTTATAATAAATGCGAAGTATCATTGGCAGACACAAAACTAGATTAGGAGCCACAGTATCTAGTTCCATTTATGGTTTTTCTCACAATTTCTGTTCTGCATACCCTTAGCTTCCCCATCTTTAAAATGGGGACCTGTTTAGAAACTGAGAATGTATGCTGTATGACTTCTAATGAAATGGTTGCATTTCTGTCTTCCTGACAATCCCCGTTACAGATGAGCACGTGAGATCCTATACTTCTTGAAGAGATGACTAATAGGACTGTCAAATACTTGTTGTAATGAACTCCGAAGATGACTGGGTTTATTTTGAGGCATTGTTATCACCAACTCGAAAATTCCTTTTATGCAGGTAATATGCTGAAATACTTGGTATGACCAGGCAATTCCACTAGCTGCTCAAATCTTGTATTTGCAGAGAATCTTTGATACAGCTCTGCAGGTTTGTCAAATTAGAAGCATGATGAAGGCAATTTGCTTGGTCTGTTGTGCAGAAAGTATAAATGGAAGGAATGACTTGATTGTGCACAGCATGCCAAATGGTTAAATGAAGCATTAGGCTTAGCATTAAAAGCAGCAGCACTGTTAGAAACAATTTGCAGGGAAGAAATTGGCAGATGCAGAAATAACTGTGTGGGCTCATTCTGCTTCTAACCAAGATTACAGAGCACAGCTTATCAAAAAAAAAAAAAACCCCACAAAAAACAAACCACCAAAACACAAACCACACACAACCCTGAAAACCTTTAACTAGACAGCCAGAATGTTGGATATACATATCTATGTTTTAGCACTGTACATATAGAGAAGATATTTATCTTACTGAATTACTTGTTTAATTTTTTTGTTAAGAAAGAATGTTAGCATACGCATTACTCACCTTAGAGAGTACTTTGAGTGCTTGATGTAGAAAGGCTCTCTGGGACTTACAAATTTCAGCTGCAATTTAATACAAAATGCTTAAAAGCACACTATATCTAAAGCCTATCATATTCAATTTATGAAATGCTTAAGATAAATCAGGTCACTTACAAATACAGCTTTACACCAACCCAGGGTTTAAAAATAAAGCATGCCCACATTTGGGCATAGTAAGAAAAATTCACATCTCAATATTTTAATGAAGTTAAAAAATAAAATAAATAAATCAGGACAGTAACGAATCCATGCAAACTATAATCTATTATTTCTCCTATTGCAACTATATTACAAATACACTCAGTGTTTCAGTCAGACAAAAGAAAAGATAAAAACTACAGACAGCAAAATTCTTCAAATATAATATTGACTTTCGAAACTAACAAACTAAGACTAGTACCATTGCAATCTTCCATCAAGAGTAAAAAAAAAAAAAATCCGTGCAGTTGAACTGTTGGAAGGATTTATGAAAATCTATTTAAAATAAAGTCTGTCAAACTTACCAAGTGTGTTGTAAAGGAATTATTCCGCAAGTTGACCTTTAACGTGCATGATTCCCCAACTCGAGTTGGAGGAAAAGTGTACAGGTCTTCTGGTGCATATACCCCTCGAATTATCTCATTTTGTCTGATTTGAAAAGGGATTTAAGATATTAAGATTTCCTGGTTATATAGTCTGGATATATTGATTGCATACTTCAAGATAACAGGCGTATTTTTCTAAGACTACCTAAGGAAAAATGGAAAGATTCTGAAAGCATCACCTCTCTCACCTTAAGTTTTAGAGGCTATACATTTTAGCTAGAAAGAATAATGAAAGCATCGCTGTGGCATAAATATATTTACTTATACACACTTTCATAATCTGAATTTTTTCCCCCATATGCTTTACCAGAGAACTATACTCTTCTCAGAGATGCTATGTGTAAACAAAACATTTTACTCCCCTGCTATATTCACATCATCCCATAGCAAAAGGACTGGAAATTAACTTAAGAGTGAAGAACAGCAAGGTTAAGACATGCAGTACAGCAGTCTTCTCAGAAGTGACTTTACAGTTCTATGGAGTCTCCAAAAGTGGAGTATAAAAAAGTATACACAAGATTCTACTGCTGATACCAGTTCATTTACAACAGCAAATGATGGTTAGGCAACTTAGAAATCCAACTGTGAAGAAAAAGCATGGGAGACTGAACAATACAAAGCCATTAAGAGGTGTGGCAAGTCTGATTTTTGCAGCTGTTTACTCTCTAAGGTAGAGTCCTAGGATAATTCAGGTCAGAAGAGACTCAGGAGGTCAGTAGTTCAAGCTCTTGCTCCTATCAGGCTCAGCTGTGAGGTCAGACCAGGCTGCTCAGGACTTTGTCCAGTCAGACCCTGAAAACCTTCCGGAGCAGAGACTGCACAGCCCCTCTGCACAGCCTGTTCCACCACACAGCTGTCCTAACGGTAAAAAAAGTTGGGGTTGGGGGGGTTCCCCCCGCCCCTTTACCCAGTTGCAGACTCTCTGTTCAAGTTTTGTCCATACATACCCTGCTTTAATTGTATGTGCTTCAGAGTAAACTTTCGTTTCTGGTACAACTGGAAGCTCAGTTTTTGTGAGGGCACTTGCAGAAGCTTTCACAATTGAAGTTTCGTCTTCTGTTTTAGTACCCTATCGGCAAAAATAGAGAAGCCTTTAAACTTCGCATTCAAAAGTATTTAAGTATTCAAGTACATAAATAATTTCCCTTACCCAATCCAAGACTTTTTATTTAAAGTATAATCTTTCAGGAACAGTACAGTCTGGATCATTAAGACAGAAGCAATGATTTAGGAGGAATACTTTAACAGGCTTCTGTGTCTTCTGAATACTTGATTTGTTACAAGCCAGCTCACAACAAACTAGCAGCGCAGGTGGAGTCTCGAGAAGGCTGCTAGCAATGAAGATTTTACTAAAAGCCAAAACAAAAAACAATCTCTCTGCAGATATTCTGCCCATATGCCTCAAGAACAGCAAAGCTGGCTAAACAACTGCTCAGAAAGAAGGCAGGCATAAGTCATCATTACAGTTTGAATTCTCACAACAGTATATGAACAATAGATCCTTCTCAAAGAGAGGTCTCTCCAGAGAGACAGAATCTGATAATGCATTATATGGTGATCGTTACATTCAGAAGTCAGGCCAAAACAGTTACCATCGGGAGGACCTGCGTTCACCGTACTCTAACACAAGGAGACCAGATCCCCCTAAGGCAATACTTCGCCAAAAAGTCAACTTCAAATCCTGTGTTGTTTAACAAATCTAGCCATATACTTTTTGGAGCCCCTTGGGTCACAACATCTTGAACAAAGTTAAAGAACCAAAAGAACCTCCTACACTTACGGTCGTACAACATTATCTCCATTTTTGAAATGATGCTGACGTTTTAGACAAGTAGTTGATTCCCTTATGCAGGGAAGATTAAAAAAAAATAGATTCATCTTCAATAGATCTGCTATGACAAACTTGTCTTTTAGAAATTCATTTCTTGTATTGAAAGAGCTGCTAATCAGTCTGTCAGAAATAGTAGCAGCCAAAAAAAAAAAAATCTTAATTTTTAAGAATATTTTTCAGTTGCAAATAACCCATGAACCCAATACACAAAGATAAGAAAGGATTTGTACATGTGTCTTGTTTCCAGAGCTTTTAATTTTCCGTGTAGTGAAAAATGATGGGTGTCATGCCTCAGTGTTATCATTCAAATTCTAATTTATCAATAAGGCAAGTTCACTGCATAAGAATAAGACACATTATGGAATACGATCAGAAGTTCCCCCAGTCTTTATGAGGGCATCTTGAGGTACTGTGTGCTTTACCATAGCCTGTACTGATTTTTCCTCTTCCAAATGAAAGCAGTACGTTAACACTGGCCCAATGGTTACAACTGAGTGTTGTTGTTCCAAAGCCACCTCAGGAGTATAAAAATTTGTTTAGCTTTAAATTTGGAATTATTTTGCTCACAGAGTTTTAAAATATTTTTCCTCCTCTCACATCTGGGATACCCAAAGAAGATGAAGCTTTGTACTGCAGATGATAATAATAAAATCAGGACTCTTAGCAGTATGCTTTGTGTCAAGTATTAAGAAATTCAGCTCAGTCTCCTGCCAAATGATACATTAAAAAGTCACATGGTTACACAGCTAAAGTACATAAACCATGTAAATTAAAAAATGGTATGTACTTAACATTTGTGATATCTTCAAGCAATAGCAGGGGTTCTTTACAAAGTCTTCAACTTTCTACCTGCTAAAGGAGCAATCAGAACTTAGGTGCTGCCTCAGCCTTCTGGCAAGTTCTTGCTAGTTCCCCTTTCCACCCAGAAGGGCCCAAAAATTAGACTGAAATACCAATCCAAGACTTCGGTGCACACCGGCGATACTCATGCTTAGCTCAGTAATAGCAGCCTAATAAATGTTTCTCAGCGAAAGCAAAAACTGAGTTTGAATGACCAGTACTGAGAGGTTGGGGCTGGAAAGCACACATAGAATCCCTCCTTTCTTTGTCTCCGGGATCAGTTTTGAAGACATGATCGTCTGAGCTCCTGACTACAATTTCCAGTGGTGGGGACTGCAAACGCATGCAGAGCATAATCAAAGTCACAGTTAACTAGTTTTTCAGGAAAAAAAATGGACATGGTAAGTGCCATTGATTCTCCTAACTTCACCTTGTTCTTTCAGTTCTTTCCTCAGCTCTTCCAAATTTTTCATTTCTTTTGAAGTGGTGCTATAAATAAATATCACTCAGTCACTCTGAATGACAGTCAGTCAGTCCTCCCACTTCATTCTATCAAAAGTCATATTAACCAGAGCTGTAGCCCTCTGCCTCAGGAAAGCCAGCAGGATCCAAGTCCTTTTCCAAGTTCCAGTAACACAGTCTAAACTCTTGATCCCTAGGACATAATAGATTATAATTGACTTGTCTTCTTGACTAAAAGTAGATCTGATTAAAAAGCTGCAACAATCTAAGTAAAGGTTCTGTGTTGACCCCTCTTCCAAAGAGCTGTATAGTTCCTTAACTAATTGATAAAGTATTTCCCTTTCAACTCTTATTCAAAATGATCATGACACATTTCAAGTATTTTCTATGAAATTTTTCCCATAGGAACAAAGAGATGCTGGAAAGATCTAATTGTTAACAGCTTTGAAAAAAAAAAAATCAAGAGGAACAAATCTGACACGGTAGTTCAAACACATTAATATCAAGTTGTGCCACTCAAAGATTTTCACAACTCTGACAACTAGTCACATTTCAAGAAGCTAATTCTTCAAAACTCTAAATTTCTGGTAAAGAATTCATCTTCTCTCAATTTCAGGTAGCTTTAAACAGACAAATGACATAGACCTTTTCCTCATTTTAAGGAAAATTATGTTCAAAGAATTAGATGAAAACTGAATAAAAAACTCTCCCAAACCAAACATTATACAGGTCTCACTCTCCATGCCAAAATTAGAATTATTTAACATACACTTTTTTAACAAGTCCTCTTTTCAACGCAATTAACTACTGGCAAGAACAAGGACCATGCAAAATAAAAAGTAAGGCACTCTGGCAAGAAGGGTAAGTAAGGTTCCTACTACGGGCTTGGTACGCTAAAGAAAGGTCCCAAATCTTTACCTGGGCTCCTTAGAAAAAAATCAAGTCAAACTCTCTGGAGAGGACAGCAAAGCACGTATAGCAATCACACAACACTGAAGATACAAAGCTCTTCACATTCAGCTCATTTAAATAATCATTAGAATTAATTCTTCCTAATACTAATAGAGTCTCTGTCCTATGTAGACTCCTCTTGTATGGATGGTGAGGTAGGGATTAAAAGCAAGGTAAGGAGAAAGAGCACAGAAAACCAGTTCTAACTCCCAAACTCCTCCCTTCCAAGCCTCACCATAAAGTTAGAGCTGAGGAGCAACAGGGGAGCAAAGGAGAGCTCAAGTCCAATCACTCACATGTACAAATCTCAAAATCACCCCCACCTACGTTGTTACTCTGATAAAATACTCAGATTCTATCAGAGACACATCCATACCTCCAATATGGATATTTGAAAATTCCAATACTGCATGAAGTTATATATCATAGCAAAGGTCATTTACTTTGCAATTTATTTACAAAAACAAAACCAATCCACCTAGTGTCCGATACAAACAAATCCGTGTCTACAGAAACAATTCACACAGAAGGCAAGTTTGCCTCTACTTTCCCCGAGCAAAATAAAATTTTACATCTTAAATGGCAAAAGATAACGCATTATCACAAAAGCAAGATAAAAAAAGGTATTTTTGTAACATAAGAAAAATAGTACAGTTTAGTCCAACAAAAATATCAGCAGGGTTTTTTCCAGAATACACCAGTGCATATGACAGAGTACTGTATAGTAAAATTAAGATGTTATCAAAATTTTTTGCTCAGGACAGCATTTAAAGCATTTATATACTCACTGCTCCAGAAAGCTGAAATCTTAATTTGTGTTTCCAACTAGGTTTTTCAACTAGATGACACTCAAGGTCCCAGAACTGGGAGTAATCCCCTTTATCTCTAGGTAAAAAGATAACAGCAACCTATAAAAACAAGAGACAAATTTTGCAGAAGCTTATTAAAATAATCTATACATCTTCACAATTTTACATACACAAAGTTACAGTTAAGTCAGCACAAAGTTTACAAACTACAGAACATACATCCCACACACAGGTGATCTTGCAGAAAACAACACAGCTCATTCTCTTTGCCCACAAAAGTTCCGATGAAATAGGTTGTGCAAGCAATCTCAAACAAATTTGGAGTTCAGCTAATCTGCTTTAAGCAAAGTTAATCTGCTTTATTAATTTCTATCAGTAAAATGGGGGAGAAGAGGACCAGGAGGGGAAATACGCGCAGCTGAAAGGCAGCTAATCTGTGAACAACTGTACTCCTCCAGTTCCAAGTCTACGCACACTGTGCTACAATTACTAGAAGGCCTGAAATTTAAACCAACTTGCAGGCTATGCATTTGATCATCCTTAAAGGCCACCTATGTAACAAAGACTTGTCTCTGTATAGTGCTGTACCAGGTTAATTCAAGAGTAAACTTGCGCTGTTTTCAGAGTTGAAGTTGGGGGAAGAAAGAGAAGGGGAGCAGCAGATTAGAATAGATCACTACAACTATATCTAATTAGCCAAACATTATCACACCCACTGCAAAAAACAGCAAATGATGGTAGCACCGCACATGATCAGCTGCAGCCAGCAGCCTGACATGCCAATAATGCAGATGTTATTCAAACAGGCCTGAACTAGGATTGCTAAGGCAAAGACAATTGTTTAAATTCAAATAACGGTTTTCAATATTATGAAAACTATGAAACTAGACAGGAGTAAGTTTTTTATGTCTTGTAAATAGATTACAAATTGCATCATCATAGAAATAATGTAGCTAAGGAATGTCATAATAATCATTAATGATTAAAAGGCAGGTGTTCATGAAGATGAACAGACAGAAGTAGCATTGAGGGAGAAGGTGAGGGACAAAAGCCCCACAGAAACCCATTCAGTATGTCCTCGAATGTGCTTTATAATTTTGGTTATGAAACCCTCTACTGGCCAGGAGATAAAACTGTACGTCAAATGAAATCAACTTTAGGAACAGACGACTACTTGACCAAGTATGACAAGACTGCTTCTAAGGAAGGGAAACCGGTTCTCACACCAGTTTCATAAGAGCCCAGTATTATAGGCAATTTTCTTGTGAATTTTTACAGAACATTTAAAAACAATTTTCTATTCTAGAATAATTTAACTTTAAAAAAAAAAAAGCATAAAACCACATCACCATGTTGAAGTCAAACTACAGATTGCACGAATTCTTAGAATCAACTCAGCTAACAATGTCAGCTGCGGTAAGTAAATACTACCTACCTGATATACCCCAGAACCCAATTGTGGAAGGCAAACATTTTATCACGATCAGATAAAATACAACCAGCTTCAAAAATTCAATTGCTATTTCAGAGAATTTCTAATGTAAGATCCTATTTTACAACTGAGATACACTACTATGCTCGAAATATTTATAAATATCAGTTTACCTTCTCTTCTCCACGAGCTTCAAGAGTACCAGAAATACGGGAACATCTGAAAGCGGAGTAAGTAACCCTATAAACACAACCAGTTCCATCCACATCCTGCAAATAAAGTTATGAGTCAGATTCAGAAGGGAAAGGAAAAAAAACCAACACTACACAATACGCTCCCACACACACCACCCTTGCAAAGGACTGAAGAAAATACACCCAATCAAGCTGCTTTCAATTGAACAAATAATACTGACTCCCTAAAAGCACATGAATATAGACTAAAACACTACAACATCTATGCAGTCACCATGACTACTGACTTCCAGTTTAGAGGTGGTGCACTGGTTGGAATATGGCATAGTCAGACTCCTGGGCTAGAGCTAAGAGTGCTACATAACCACTTTTCATCATTTCACAACAGCAGAATAATTCTAGCATAAAATCAAAGTGACAATCACAGCATTTCAGACTATCAAAAAAATACAAAAGCATTTACAAATATCAATGCTACAGCTACAGTAATTGCACCAGCAACAGCAGTGTAGTTCAAATATCCGTGACCTAACTTAAATTACCTACAGAGATACCATGTACAGCATAGTTTCAGCAGCACAAGTCTCAAAACAAGGCATGTCTAGCATTCTGGAGCCAAAAGGGACACCCATCTTTCCTGTACGCTTGATTACTTAATGCAATCTGGATGATGACACTGGATGAGCACAAGCAAACTCTAAGCCAGTAAGTGAACCAGAAATCATCCCACAGAGCACTGACTGATTCACAGTCAGGGAACACATTAGAGATGAAAAAAGAGTAAAACACTTCCCCCATATGGACAGAGGCAAAAATAAATTTTGCAACTGAGTTCATGTTCAAATATATATTCTTTCTTGAGAGGATGGAGGGAGAAAGAGAGCGCAGCAGGAAAAGAGAAGGAAAAAATCCAAGAGATTTGCATAGAACTACCAACGCAAGCATTCACTCACCTTAACATAGGGTGGTGCAAAAGATGACAAATGCCACTTCACACTGTCATCCCCTTTATTCTCCATTTCCAGGTAACTCTCTAGAAGAATCATAGAATCATTATGGTTGGAAGAGACCTCAAAGATCATCAAGTCCAAAGTGCCCGCTAAACCCACTAAACCATGTCTCGAAGTGCCACATCTAAACGTTTTTTGAAGACCTCCAGAGATGGTGACTCCACCACCTCCCTGGGGAGCCCATTCCAATGCCTAACAACTCTTACAGTGAAGAAGTTCTTCCTAACATCCAGCCTGAACCTCCCCTGGCGCAACTTGAGACTGTTTCAAAAAAGAGAAATATCAGACTAGTATATTAAATGGTTTTGTTCAAGTGTTCAAGTGTCTTTAGTGGAAAGAGTTTAAACAGCAAGGATGTTTCAAGACACAGAGAAGTTCAATGGAAACAATTCTCACAATGCCAGCTCCAAGAGCACACTCAAACAAAGCATGCTGTCATAAAATTCTTGACAGCTTATACAAAAGAAATGTGGAAGTAAGTCTTCTAGTGAAGAATCGTATTGAAGATGCTTACAAGAAACAAAGCGAGACCTAAATCTCACCCTCAATAACTTTAAAACAATAACAGATAGTCCTATAAGAGAACCTGAGGCATATCAAAGAATGGTATGTGAATGCATTGCTGGTAGTAGGGAGGTAGAGGTAGCTGCTTAGAAATCCAGAACATGACAAACAGCAGAGAGATCTAAGTTACCTCCAACAGTCTCAGCTTACTGCATCCAGATTTTTGCCAGATACCTTCACATACCAGTACACAAAAAAATACAAAAAAAAACAAAAAATCCACAAGATACCCAACTCCCTCCCAATGAATTACTTGACTGTCCAGGGAAAAAACACAGACAGTATTCTGGTTTGGGACCAAGGAAATACAGCTGCATCAAACAAAATCTGTTCTCATCCTAGTATGGATTTGTTGCTCACCACACATATATATACATATGACGTGTCTCTGTGTGTGTGTGTGTGTGTGTGTATATATATATATAAATGAAACTTCCAAAAAAAGCTTATGCTTGAATTGCAGAAAGGAGAATAACTACTGACATTATCAGAAAACCCCAGCTTTGACAGTATCTATAAGCATATTTCACACCTTGAAATGTGCCTCTTGCCAAGAGTCAACAGGACATTTGTAAGATCACCTCAATCTACAGTAGCACTTCAGGAAGTTTAGTTGCACACATATTATATGGGACATTTATAAAAACAGGAAAGGAAAGGAATATTCTATTATACTCATCATTCATAAGTGTAGCAAAAAAAACAGATACAATTGATAAATTAAGCCTTCAAAGTTCTAAAGTCTGTTAAATAAAAACACAGCGTCAGTGAATCATTAAAAAAAAATCCTCATCACCTAGAAAACTAAGCACTACCAAAAAAATCTGGTATCTAGATAACAGAATGACAGTTTCATACAGTAATTTGCAGATTTTTTAAGCATTATTGGAATTAAAAGTAAAGACTGAGGAACTGAGACTCTCTTATTCACAGTGTCCTCCTCGATCATTAAGTACAAGGCAAGCATAGCCAGACTCACAGCTGACATTCCTATCGTCTTAAGGAAGAACATTTATTTCTCTGCTACACGCAGACAGATTTACCTCACATCTGAGGGCACATACACAGACGAGAACGGGTCTACCGCAAAAGTGCATTGACCCAGCAGAGCTTCAACAAACACAGTAACCTCATACTGCTGTCTTTGCCCAGGCACTGTATGGTTGCATTCATCATAGTTGCTTAAAAAAAATAAATCAGCAACTTACCTGCCTGTATGCAAACCTATCTGTGGGAAAAAGTGTGACTATACTGCATAAGGAGAAGAAAAAAAAGAAGAAAAAAAAAGGGAACTTCTCAAACGAGTTCCATCACTGGTCAATCACACTTACCAGACTACAAGAACAAAAATTAAGTCAAGGCATTCAAGTTCCCAAATACGCAATACAGTAAACAAAACTTCTGAACACGAGATACTACAGATGCTGCATTTACTAAGGAAGCAATGTTACCTGAGCTTTGGCCAGGTCTGGTTTTAGGAAAAACGATGGTTCTGTTCTTTATTTCCATTTTTGTTAGAGGGCACGCTGAGAGAGGCTTTGCCACATGAACAGCAGGACTTTCAGACTGTGGAGTAAATCTACCAGGTCTTCTACATGGGATGTCTGCTCCAGACACACTCTGTGCGACTGCCTCTCGAATTTGCACTTTAATAAACTTTTGCACAATTTGAAGAAAAATAAAGGTTTAAATAGTGAACATTGATACATTAACAAGTCAAACTATTTAGCTCTATTTCCTTGAGCTGTAAGAGCTCATTCTTTACATTCCAACAGAGAAAGAGTCTCATACTTTAAATCACCAGGTCTTCTCTAACTTCAGTTCACAAAGTTTAAAGGTTTTAGGACAAGTTTAATTTAGGAGAACAGGAAAATTTACTGAACGTTTGCTATCTAGACGTTTTAATAGGAATAAGAATTTAAAATAGTTTCTTTGACAAGTCCTACAATATCCGCTGCTTGCAGAGAACAGAAACAAGGCTGCTTCACACAGAAAGAGCTTTGTGTTCACTTCTGCTATGTAATTAGCACTTTGAAAAACTTCAGTTAATGCTAGTAAAATCTTAGCATACTTTTTGCTTAACTGGATAGATAGCAAAGAAATGACAGAAGCATTATCAACTATCAGATCTCTGACAATTTGATTGTTTTAGCCACATTCTCTACTTTTGTCCTGGTAAGTTTATTCTGTCAAAGCCTTTTCTCATATTGTAGAACACAACATAGTTAAATATGTGCACAGTCTCCATTTCATTCCCAGCTCACTCTTTTCAACAACTTCCTTGTTTGTTTGGGGGTTTTTTTTAAGGCAGTTTCCAATTCTGTATCATACTTCACCGTCCTCCATCAGGAAGGAAAGATACGCCATTTTATCCTTTCAGCGTCTTTTTTCTTTCCCTCTCTGTGCATTGTTACAATTAACCCAAAATACATACTGGCTGTAAAAATAAAAAGACAGGTGTCTATGTCTTTGGGGGACACTACCAAGGCGTCTTTCTGCTTTTACATCGACAAAAGAAGAAACTGTTGGCTTCAAAAGTTTTATTTATGTGCCTTAATTTAATCAGGGATAAGTCTTGAATCAAAATGCACAAAGAGCAAGAATCTGTTGCGGACATTCTTTGTCACAGACTTGTCGGCCAGAAGGTTAAGTTTACCTTAAGGGAGCTGAAAAGGAGCTATGGTGACTTGTCCAATAACCTCTTTAACTTCTTTTATTTTAAAATATTATATAGTCTCCTTTTATATATGCATGTGTACATATATATAATTTAGCGTTTTAGAAAATTACATATAAGACAGTAGTGGGTGTACAGATGCAATTTTGTTGGCAATTCAGTCTAAGCATTCACATCACAGTATTTCTTCAGAGATGAATGAACAAAAAAATCTCAGTTTGCAAGATAGCATCTCAATGACATTATGGTGTTTGTTTTTTTTTAAAAAAAAAGAACTTTACAAATTAGAGAGAATAATGGAAGTTGACAGAACTGCTGTATCATACCTAAAAGGTTTGAGCAACGTTACTAGACCTTATCCAGCAAAATAAAATAAACAGTTACAATCTCACCTCTCACATAAGCCACGTACCTTCTGTCCATTATCACAATGGATATAGATTAGGCCACTCCAAGGAATTAATGAAGGTTTTGTGGCAAGTGATGGATTAGGACTCACCAGAATTATTGTGCTGCTCCTAACAAAAGAAAAAAATATTAGCATGATCCTCATATCCCCCCCCAAAAAGAATGCACTTTTAAGATAGTAGGTAAGTGAAGATGATCTAGAGAGAGTTAAATTTAAGGTATTCAAATATCTAAAATATTATTAAGCTTCAGTAGTCAGAAACTTCACACTAACACTTTATAAACTTGTCATTGATGGCTGTGTAAGGGGTCAGAGGGAAAGAATCTTATCTACTGTTAACATATACAACAAGTCAGACCATGTAAAAGCAGACATATAACTACATGTTTCAGAAAAATAAGCTTCAATACTAGTCCACAAGGGAATTGTACAGTTCAAACAAAGTATACTGCACAAATTGCATTTCAAGAATCTTTTAAACCAATTCTAGTCTTAGAAAAGCAGCTTGCTTTCCTTCCCCCTACGCAGAACCGATCCTGGAAAAAAGAAAAGCCTTTCAATGTTATCAATGCTTGCTATAGTTTATTTAGAGTAGGGGACACTGAAGAGTCCAAAGTCACTTGAAGCAATTATCACATCACACAGTAATTTGGCCAGTGAGAACATAAATTCTGATTTACAATGTTCCATATTCTATAGTAGAGACATTTAAATAAAGGAGGGGAGAAAGCAAGCACTGAAGCAAAGGTCATTGGTTATATGTTAGCAAAAGCACGCAAGCTACAACTGAAGAATTAGCTTAGTGTGTCATTAGCACAGCACTTTGCATTTGAAAACTTCACCTAACAGATGTTAATGGCCTTAAAATATTAAATCAGGATATTGATATTTCCTTAAAAGACTGTGGGGTGTTTTTGAATCTCAGCAGTTTGGGGAATCTTTTCACTCATGGTTCTCTCTCCCATATACAAGCTGCGTTTGTGAGATTCACTAAGTACACACACTATCTGTTATCACAAACCATCCCAGTCATCAGCAAATCCAACTTGCATGGTGTCAGAAACAACATGTCTCTCAGAAAAGTCATATTCAGCCTAGGGAAGAAACACTTTCCAAAGGCGGCTCTTGCAGCCTTTGGAGATTCCAACAGTCCCTGCTCCAAAAGTGCAACTCCTTTCACAGCACTTACCCATACTCCCAACGCTGAGGCACAACAACGTGCCAGATGCTGGTTTCAGTTTGCCTCCATGAGCAAATCTCTTGGAATGCTACCAAATTCAGTAGGAACTCAGGACATGCAGGCAGGTTAGAGGTTGCCTTTACCTCATTCCATGGAACTTAAGGGGTTTAGTCAAGGTGAAACAAGGGGTGGTCTGCTTGCCCTAGCACGGCAGAGTCAGTCCTTGATCTTAGGATGTTCCTTCACCATCACTGAGAAATCAGACCTTCTCCTTTCCTGGCCTAACATCAGTTCAAGAATTCTGTCGGCTCCAGCCATCACAGTGCATATTACCAAAGGTTCTGGCTGGCTCCTGTCCTGACAGGATGACTGCTCTTGGCACTGTAGGCAGACGGTCATACAAAGTAGAAAATCAGTCAAGTACAGCATGCTGTGCTTAAGTCAGCTGTTCCCACGGGTCTGTTTCCTGCTTGCAGGCCTCTGTTCTTGATCCAGACTACTCACTTGGACCCAACATGTGGGGTTTCAACTCATTCTTTTCCGGTGAAGGGAACAAATCTTAAAATTACGCAGTGCAAAAAAATTGCTTGCAGAAGGTCTTCGATTCGCTCTTTTTAAGAAATCATTCTACAGACAGTCCTGAGTCTAGGGTATGAGACACTCAAGACATCCTTACTTTCACAGCTACTGGGAAGTTGTTAATTGTTATCTCTTTTTGAGATCACTGTTCTTAGCACTGACTGAATCTGCAAGGAGTGGCAGATATCCTAGCCCTTCCAGAGAATCCCCTTTATTTTGGTTACTGATGAAAGTTCCCCAGCAGTACATCCAAGACTGTACATCTACATGAACATGGAATTAAGTGTTCCAATGTATTGCATCTTGCACAGGACTGAAAAGAATGTATCTGGGTAAACATCTACAAAGTTAAAGCAACGACTTCAATAAAACTCAGAAAGCAAAACCTATTTTTTGTGGAACATGACACTTCTTTATTTTTTAATATGAGAATAGTTTCATAACAGTGTCATAAAAGCCTTTCTGAACCGACCCTAAAAAGCCCATAGATTTAGAAGTGAGAGGTGGTCAGAACTTTCAAGCATCTTATTGTGAAAGACTTTGCTGACATGTTTGAGAAGTCTCATACACACGTGCAGTGATATTATGACTACTGTTCCAAAATACTGCTAATTAAGACACAGGTGACCCGACACTGCCTTGTCATTCTTTTCATACCTACAGATATTGAGAAGCCAAAGGTTGAGTGGCAAAAACCAGTTTTGTCAGAAAACAAAAAAAAAAAAAACAAAACAAAAAAAACACCCCACCAAAACCAAAATCCCACAATCAAGTTCTGATGAGCATCAGCACATTTGCAAAAGAAGATGCTAAGTCCCCAGAAGAGAAGCATTCTATAAGGACTGTTAATTTTGGGTTTGTCTGTTTGTTTATTGTGGGGGGCAGGCTGTGGGAGGGGTGGGGAGTCCTTTTTGTTTTTAAACACACAGGTCATTTTTAAACAAAAAGCTATTGTGAAAAGAAATTTTTAAAGCTTCAGCTTTGTTGATCGCCCGGCTCCTGGAAAATTATGCAATAATAATAGTGTTCCCAGGCACATAAAATTCCTGGCCTCCAGGTAACTTTGTAGGTGACAGAATATTCCCTCTATACAGAGCTATTAAAGGACAAGGTCCTAAAATATATAAGCTAGATTTGCGTGTTAGCTGACAAAAAGACTGTACCCTTGAACTAATTAACTGGCTAGTTCCAGGGTATATTCTAAACAAACTAAAATAAATTCCTAAAAACTAACTAAAATTCCTAAATTCCTAAAGTAACTAAAAATAAATTCCTCCAAAACCTCACCACAGTTTCACACGTAAAGGAACCTATGAAAAGAAACTTACTCTGGTTCAATAACTCCATGTTGTGGGGTTATAGTAAGGCAGTGAGCTGGCCATGAGAGCTCAAATGCCAACATCCTATTAGAATTGTTGATAATTTGTACATGTCCAGTATCCGCTGTTCCACCTGTAATACAAAGAGTTATAAAAAGCTAACACATACAAAAGTTCACAGAAGTGCCAAAGATTCAGAGATGCACCAATTAAGATAAAGCATTTTCTGCCCTATTTTTACCTTAACAATGCTTTAAAATCCTCATAGGTATGTAGCGTGTATTATATGTATACACACACAGAGTACACTACCTCAGACAATTTAACCAAAACCGTGTTCAAACCAAGTTTACTGTTTAGATGTAAAGCTACTGCAGCAAGATTATTGGCCAAACCACACTTACAAACACAAAATAATTACAAACATAGTATGCAGAACAGTTATTTTAATACTAGAGTGGTTACTTTATTAACTTCAAAAAATACTTACTAATAGAAGGAGCTGTCAAAGTCAAGTACTCAGGTTTAACAGTCCAAGTCTGTTGAACATCTGATTTATTCTGAACCAGATCATCAGTTTTTACAGGTAACAAAGGACCCTGAGGTCCTTTAACAGGAAGAACATCCAAAGTTGCATTGATATGTCTGACAGAGTTCTCAAATCTGAAAATACAATTGCATTAAGCAAAAGTAGTAATAAAAACAACTTATGAGTAATTACAATAGCCTACAGTTAGTATTTCTCAAAATTTAATACTAAAATACAGTGTTCTTTACATGTGCTTTCAATTTAATTCAATCCTCCATTACTAAGAAAAAATCAGTTCAGCAGCTACATCATGACACAGCTTTTTCACAGAATGTTTAGAAGTGGAAGGTACCATTTAGGATGGAAAGTACTAAAATAAAAAAATTATCTTCAGGTGATAATAAAGTAAAAGGCTTTCTCTATACATACTTTATTCAGATTAAGAAAGTACTGCAGAGAGAAGTAAGGCCAGGCAAGTTGTGTTTGGCAGAATCCTGGAGGCCAGGAGGGACCTCGGGCCATCACCCAGTCCAACACCCCTGCTCAAAGCAGGGTCAGCTACTGCAGGTTACTCAGGACATTGTCCAGTCAGGTTTTGTATTTCTCCACAGAGGAAGACTTTATAATCTCTCTGGGCAACCTCTTCCAGTGTCTGACCATCCTCACCAGGAAAACAAACAAAACAAAACCAAAAGCCCCCAAACAAACAAAAAACACCCCAAAAACCAAAACACAACCAAAAAAAACCAAACCCAATTTCTTTCTCATGTTTGAACTGAGTTTCTTGCATTTCAGTTTGTGCCCATTGCCTCCTGTCCTGTCACTGGACACCACTGGGAAGACTCTGTCTTCCTCTTTACTTCTCTATCAGGTATTCACACACATCAATAAGATCCTCTCCTTGCTCAAGACTAAACAAACCCAGCTCTTAAGTCTCTCCTTGCAAGACAGATGCTCCAATCCCTTTGTCATCTTCACGGCCTAGCATTTCACACCTTTGCTTGCAAGATACATGGCAGATAAGCTCATACATGAAAGCTAGGAAACTGTTAGTTTAGGATTCAGCGTATTTTCTTAAGTTAAAAGCTTAACTCACAACAAGTTTGCTTTTAAATACTAAAATAAAAGCAGCAATCAACAATTAAAGAAAAAACAGATAACTTTTGCTCCATATGACATTGTGTAAACATACAGCTCTTCTTCCTATTATTTCTACTGCTACTTTTAATGCTTCTGAGAATCCTGACTGAGTTCAGGACAGCTGAACTAATACCTGTGAGAATTCATTCCTTAAAATAGCAATGGAACCAAGGCGGCAACTGATTTACGTAATTCCTTGACAGGGAATTTCCTAACAGTCAGATTAGTAGTTAACACACTCAGATCTCTTCTAAAGAATCACAGTCTTTTCAGAAAATGAAGATCTCTGTGACACTTAGCCAGGGGCAGGGGGGGAAGGGGCAAAAAAAAAGAAAAAAAAAAGACAACCACCAAATAAGAGAAATGTCCTGCTTGCTGCTCCAGGTATTTGTTTCCAACCTCTAGCTTCGCAATCCCCCCATGCCTGACAAACACCTTGCTAGCCGATGAATCTGTCAAATGTCCCAAAGTGCTCAGCATCTACAGTCCAACAGGTACAAGCAATTCCAAGACAACATCTACATATGTAGATGTTAAACACAACAGGACCAGGTAGGACCCTTTCTTCACCTATTTAACAGGATCTTGAGAAGAAAAAACACCAAGACTCAAGAAACAACCTATACAAATACATTCCTCACAGCGTTGAAGTTAACCCGTCTTTATTTTGCTTTTATGCTACGCTATCTTATTAAGTAGGACTTGTATTGGATTTGAACATTTCTTTCCCTTTTCAGGGCTCCAAATGCTACAGCAACCTGTCTAAATTAAAGTGTCAGGTCCATTTTAAAGACCAGGTCTCTGCCAGTCCTCCAAAGAAATCCTCCCAGTAACGGACCACTCCACTCGAGGGAGTGACAGGGGTGGTGATAGCCTCAGCATTGATCATTCTTGTGATGAGTATAGTACACACTACAGTGCAAGGCTGGCATATGGGTTGGACAAGGAAAAGGCCACTAAGCCTTTGTAATACATCTCTGTTTCCATCTCAGATGTCAAAAACTCTTTACAAGGAATGAAGTGGTTATAGTCCTATTAGGACTACAACAATAAATGCACTTTGGAAGTGCCTATGGAAAAAAAAAGTTTCTTCAGACGAAGAATAGGAAGTTACAGATAAAGTTAATGGTGTCAGTTGAGGGAATACTTTAAAAGTTATCATAACAATTTAAACAGACTATATAGAGAATAGTGAGAAGAGCCACCAAGATATTTGTTGGAGCTGTTCTAATTACAAAGCCAGCTCTTCCACTTGCAAAGCAAGTCAATTTTCATCACTGACATTAAAATCGTCAATGAAAGGAGATGCACTTCAGTTAGGCATTATTTGACAGCCTTATAGTTATGTTACCTGTCTGATTCCAAATGACGGCCAGGAGACTGCTGAAATCCATCTCGATCAAAAGTGGAATATCCAACCACGGAAAGGATAACCTTTCGCATATTTGCGTAGAAAAGATGGATATCATTTGTCCCCCGCGGGATATCACACACTAAAAATGAGAGTAAAATAGCAATTCAAATAAGAACAAAACTACAATACTCAGAAATTACACAACAGAGATTTAGGTTATAGCCCTAGTTAATAATCTGTTGGCAAAGATATCCTAGATCATTCAAAAAATTACTTACTACAAGTTCAGTTATCAGGCATAAACCAACATTAACATCAGATGTAGCATATAAATCTAAATACACACCTTTACACAAATGGCATACACTAAACTGATTCTATGCCAACTTAAAGTTGTTTTACTTTTTTTACCCTGACAAATAAAACTAATGCATTCCTGAGGCTTCACAGAAAGAGATTCAACTTGAGAGAAGTTATTTTTCAGTTACTCAAGTCTATTCCATCTAACACTTCATTATTTAATTAATTACATCTGTAAATATGCAAAAGGTCAGGAATATAAGAGTATGATTTAAAAATAATAAAATGTTTCATCAAAATGTTTAATAATCAAGTCAAAGTTTTCTCCTTTGCTTTCAGCCATTTCGTGTTGAACAGACAGAATGGAGTGAACACTTCTCACACAGGATACATTTAATCCAACCCTTACTTCCTTTGCTGCATAGTGGATACCAGGGACAATTATTAATATAGGTATATAGCTTCTGCAACTCAGCTATGGATAAGACAGAGCAATAACTCATGTACAAGTGTTTTTAGTTAGAATTTACATGCATCCAGAAACTTGTTAACAAAGCTAAGTCTTGCAAAAGGATGTCTAACAGAATGTGTTTTTTGGAAGAAATAGATTGTTTATTGTGTCATATATATAACAAAATTCAGTATGGAGATATGTTCTTTCTTCAGGATGACCATCGTTTCTACCCTAAGTTTCTTTTATACCCTCCTCTACCCCCCAAGCTGAATTGCATTCAGTTCGGGAAATCCTGATTTTCAAACATCCCATTAAAATGTTTAACTCTTACAGCCTCTCATTTTCACCAACTTAAAACATCAAAATGGCTAGTTCATGATATCGTTAAGATAACTTTGAATGCCAAGTCCACAGCGCACACAATTCCAGATCCGGAACTGTCAGATCTAAATCACAGCATGCAAACAGCATGATGGTGCCATCTTCACATGTAATTTCTTAACAGGTTTTTCAAATACCTCTGTGGATTAAGGCAATGAGGAACGGAGACCAAAACAGTCTAGGGATCCAACTTCATGTTAAAAGCAATTCTTATAGCAAAGACATTCTGTTCTTTGAAGTTTTTTTCAGCATCATCTCTTTAACAGCCTTTCATTTAAAAGGTCAAGAAGTAAAGAAAACATTTAGATGTTGAAAAAAAAAATAACTTACTTTTCACCTAAAAGATAGCATCTTACAGAAAAGAACAACAACAAAAAAATAAATCCTATTTCTTCATTCTAGGTACTGCTATTAGTTCCTACAAAGTATTTGATTTACAAGAACACGTAACGAAAAAACCCTGTGGATATTCCCACTGAAAAGTCAGTGAAAACGAATCTGTGTAGAATAAGATTGTACTATTCACCTGGACACCACTGGGTGACAAGAACGTAAGGAAGGGCTTAAAGTTTGTATCAATGTGAAAACAAGCAAAGATAACCTAGTTTCCTTTTCTGGGAGCTAGTTTTCCAGCTCCCCTCCTTGAAGGCATACTGGCAGTATTATACAAGTCAGACTCCCAGATTTTTTATAATGACAGTCTTCACCTCAAATTCATTGATTGAGTACACAAAGTAGTACATAAGAGGGCAAGGATCTTTTATGTCCAAGATAAGTAAGTTTGAGTAAATTAAACAACTGTGATCAAACAGGGAACAATAAGCTACATTTCATAAATTCAGGAAAGTGCACTCTCAAAAAGAGACAGAAAAACATTAAGATGCAAGAGACAAGCCTTGTTTTCTACAGAAAGAAAAAAAATTAAGTTACCATTAGCAAAACTCTAGTCATATGGCAGTAAGAGATAATCAAGGATGTCTAGGCTCTAACACTGGTTTAACAACTTCAGAGCATACTCCAGAACCCAAGTATCTTATCTTCACTAGGACTTCACCTCAACCAAGATGAAAGATCAACAATCTTTACTTTTCCAACTAAAGATAGCATACAATCTATAGGGGTAAAAGTTGGACTACAATATTTATTCAGGTGTAGTAGCCTTAGAACAGTAAAAGCTTTCCTTATGTGAATAGAACTAGTTGAAGAAATAGGATTTGAAAGTAAACTTGTTCATGACACTTACGGGATTGAACAGTTGCAGGGGATTGGTTTGTTTCGTTTTTCAGGGGCTTGGGGCAGGAGCTGGGTTTTGGTTTGGTTTTTTGTGGGTTTTTTTGTTTTGGTTTGGTTTTTTTTGTTGTTTTGTTTGGTTTTTTTTTTTTTAAGGACACCTTTTCAATATACTGCTTTTTTTTTTTTTAACTAATTCCTTGCTAACACAAGCAGAAGTACAAAAAAGAGTATCAATATATTTGGGAAGGGAAATATATATTTTAATGTCAGCAAAGTTGTCGCCTCTCAATTTTCAAATATAAGATACATCTGTTCACAAGATATATAAGATATATCTGTGTACGGTATCAGTACAGGCTGGGGGATGATGTGATTGAGAGCAGCCCTGTGGAGAAGGACTTGGGGGTGCTGGTGGATGAAAGGCTGGACATGAGTCAGCAATGTGCACTCCCAGCTCAGAAGGCCAACCGCATCCTGGGCTGCATCAAGAGAAGTGTGGCCAGCAGGTCGAGGGAGGTCATTCTGCCCCTCTACTCCGCTCTGGTGAGTCCCCACCTGGAGTATTGCATCCAGCTCTGGAGCCCTCAGCACAGGAGAGACATGGACCTGTTGGAGAAGGTCCAGAGGAGGGCAACGAAAATGATCCGAGGTCTGGAGCACCTCTCCTATGAGGACAGGCTGAGAGAGTTGGGGTTGTTCAGCCTGGAGAAGAGGAGGTTTTGGGGTGACCTCACTGCAGTCTTCCAATACCTGAAGGGGGCCTATATGAGAGATGGGGACAGACTTTTTAGCAGGGTCTGCTGTGACAGTTTTTAAACTAAAAGAGGGTAGATTTAGACTTGACATAAGGAAAAAAATTTTTACAGTGAGGGTAGTGAAGCACTGGAACAGGTTGCCCAGAGAGGTGGTGGAAGCCCCATCCCTGGAGGCATTCAAGGTCAGGCTGGATGGGGCTCTGAGCAACCTTATCTAGTTGGAGATGCCCTTGCTCACCGCAGAGGCGTTGGACTAGATGACCTCTGAAGGTCCCTTCCAGCCCAAATGTTTCTATGATTTCTATGATAACAAACTGAATCTTTCTCAATTATTAATAATAAGGCAAATACTCTACAAATAAACTGAGTATTTTTAATGCTATAACACTCCTAGACTGCGGTTTCATTTTGCTAGGAGAAAAGTACAGCGAATTGTTTAAAAAGACAGGCATTGAATGAAAGAAAAAGTTCCACTGTGGTGGGTTGACCCTGGCAGGAGGCCAGGTGCCCATCAAAGCTGCTCCATCACTGCTGTCCTCAGCTAGGCAGGGGACAGAAAACACAATGAAAGACTCGTGGGTCGAGATACAGACAGGGAGAGATCACTCACCCATTACCATCACAGGCAAAACAGACTTGACTTTGGAAATTAGTTCAATTTATTACCAATTAAATCAGAGTAAGGTAATTAGAAATAAAAACAAATCTTAAAAAAATCCTTCTCCCCACAGCCTCCTTCGGGCATCCCCCTGCTCCGGCGTGGGGTCCTCCCCGGGCTGCAGGTGGGGATCTGCTCCAGCGTGGGCCTCCGTGGGCTGCCGGGGGACAGCCGGCCTCACCGTGGGCTGCCCCAGGGGCTGGGGGGAATCTCTGCTCCGGGCCTGCAGCACCTCCTCCTCCTGCTGCACTCACCGGGGGCTGCGGGGCTGCTCCTACCACACATTCGCACTCCTCTTCTCACAGAAGCCACCCCGGTAGCCCCCCGCTTGCCACGCAAACCCAATACATCCATCCAAACTGAGAATTTGCTTCTACATTTATCGAAAAAGAAACAGTGGAAAAATAACTAGGGTCCAAGCCTAAATGCACATTTTCCCACTCAAAGACAAGTATTACGTTTTTCTTTTAACAAGTCATTGGTTTACCTTCTGTCACAAGCTGCTCCCCTTGAAACTCTTCATCAAATACAATGTTTCTCAATAAGCTGTTTTCTGGGATTATGTGTTTTTCTACCTCAGGTTTATACATCATAGCTCTGTTAAAGAGATAAAGAAACAAGAGTAATTAAATTACACAAAGTATTGGAAACAACAATTTTAAAAGCTTGATAAGATTGGTAAGAATCCAGCATAATTTTAACTTTGTCATTTCTTGAATACACCAAGCTGAAATCTGTGATCATTCACTTAAAACTGAAATCTTTTCACAATCTCAAAATTGTTAAGGAAATACCTGCTGTATTGCTGCACAGTAAATGGGACCACTGAAATAATAGCTACCATACACTTGTCTTTCCAAGACACTTGATCTCTGCTGTCAGTCACACCTACCTAGATTTCTGATAACTACATCAGGCATCCCAGTGATTTTTCAATCACCACGGGAAGCAGGAGAAAGCTATTTTCGTCACGAGTGAAAGCCTTTTGAGGAGAAAAACTGACTAGTCAACGGCAGAGAGGCAGCAGGTGCCAGCCAACAGCAGGAACATGGAGCCAAGGAACATGACTGCCAACAGGACAGAAAAGACCGGGAGGCATAGCAATATAGTGCTAGGAAAAATGGGAAGCTAAAGGTCAGTAAAAGGAAACCTGGCATTCAGATAGGGTCAGAGCCACGGAGGTGGAAAGAATACCTCAGCAGTACTAACTCTCAGGTCTAAGCTACTTACCAGGCTGCTGACTACGTATATTTTTGGAGTAAAGAACTTGAGCCACAAATTGGCAGGCTAGGCAGATTACTTACTACACATTCCTG